CAACACTGCTGATGTGTTCACCAAGGCGCTTTAGCCTTGTGACCATCAGTGTTTTTGCACTCTTCTAGGCCTTGTGCCTACTGGACCTCACTTGCTTAGTTCTTGAGTCTGTTTGTACTGTGATCTCTATATATATATACCTGCATGTTTACTCTTACTAGGTTGTGATCATTGTACCTCTTGTTCTATTATAAACCTGCATGTGAACTGGTCTTGTGACCACTTGCTTGTGCTCGGAATTTGTGTGGTATCCTTGAGATCCACCCTGAGCTTGTTTTGCCTTGCTTTGCCTTGACTGGTCTTGTGACCCCCTAGTTCTCCCCCAGTTCGCCTATGGGGGTGTGTCAAACATTATATATGTTGTTGTGCTTGTTTAGGCTACAGTGGGTTAGCCTATAGGAGGTACACAATTCTAGGGTTAGGTACTTGTACTGTTTTCACTGTTAGTTCAACCATTTTCCTGTTTGTTCATTTCAACAATAGAGCAGGTTCACAATTGAAAGCAAAGCTAGAGGCTATCACAGAGGGCAAGTGAGGAGGAGGAGAGACTGTGGGGGCGAGAAGATGGGAGGCGACTGCAGAAGCTGCAGACACACAGGATCTGCTGGCTCAGTGGCTACCGAAGCAAGGGCCCGGACTACAGGAGTAACTGGCTCAGCGGAGATTCTAGCCTCTTGACTGGAGCAACTGACCCACAGGCGACCGGCGACTACCGGAGATTGTAGCCTCCGGACTACTGGCGCCGCTGATGACACGATAGTTGCCTCCGGTCAACCTCCCCCAGCTGCCCCACGCCCCTATCACACACCCCCTGCAGCACCCCTAGCTCCACTCCCACGACACCCCCCTAGCACCACTCCTTCGGCTCCCACACACCCACCCCCTTGAGCGGCAGCTGCAGCTGGGGGAGATGGAAGAGGAGGAGGAGTAGTGGAACGGCGCACAGAAACTGCACCCCCAAACCCTAATTCAGGAGAACGGGCAGCAGCAGGGGTGGGGCGCCGTCAGAAGCACGGGGGGCAGCGGGCAGCTCAGGGGCAGAGAGGAACGGGCCGCCCACGGGCCTGGCACAGCCAGACAAACCGCACGCAGGCGGCCCGAGCCACGCGCGGGCTTGGCCCAGCCCGTACGGGCCGCGCGCGGGCCTGGCGCAGCCCGTACGGGCCGCGCGCGGGCCGGACGCAGCCCTGTACGGGCCGCGCTTGGGGCTAGCGCAGCCCGCGCTGGCCGGGACGGGCAATCGGGGAGGACGGGCTGGTCCCCGTCGCCCGTCAAAGCGCCCCCCGGGGGCGACGCGTGGACCGACGGGGCAGAAAGCCGCCGCGCGCCTCGGGGCGCACGGCGGGCAGAGAACCGCCGCACGCCCCGGGGCGCACGGCGGGCAGAAAACCGCCACGCGCCTCGGGGCGCATGGCGGGCAGAAAACCGCCACACGCTCCGAGCTCGCGGCGGGAAGAAAAATCCGTCGCACGCCACGGGGCGTGCAACACACAGAGTAGCAGCGGAAGCAGTTAGGTGGGTCCACAGGCCAGGAGTGTAAATGCTCTGAAACCATGTTACAATAGTAAGCACAGTTAGGAGCCATAGCTAGGGTTTAGCTAGCTAGACAAGAGAGAAATGAACTAAGGAGGAGGTTTCACTAGCAGCAGTTGGGATACATATAGCAAACCCTAACAGGGTTGTACTCGATATAGAGTACCCCACTACAGGCTAGATAATAACATTCTGACAGGACTCGGACGAATAAGGAGGGTACAGCAACGGATTGCCCAGTACTGATCCACGGGAAAATACAGGGAGCAGCAGTGAATATTTTTATCGACGGAGGAGCAAGCCACAGTTTAGTAAATACCGCAACCGCACGAAAACTGCAACTGACACTTAGCCGTTGCTTACCGGAGATAGACGCACGCTTAGTCGACGGCATGCCTCTGGCCATACGAGAAAAGGTAGAGAGAGTCAAAGTCCGCTGCGGGGGAAATTTCGGGTTTACAGAGGAAATGCTCGCAACGACACTGGATGGGCACGATATTTTATTGGGACGTGATTGGATGCGACGGTATAACCCGCGAACTGACTGGACGACGGGTAGCTGCACCGTGCGAAATAGTGGTAACTGGGTCGAGCTACCTCGCTGGCAGTCGCCCGAGTCTTCAACTGTACACGTCAACGCCATCACAATGAAACGGGCTGTCGCTGCTTGAGCTGACGTGTACGTAGTAGACATTGCAGTAGTAGAGGAAGCAGAGGAGCCGAGTGATTTCAAGAAACTGCTGGCAGCCATACCGCCCGAATTACAGGAACTGTTGAAACGATACCCCTGGATTTTCCCCGACGACTTACCGGAAGGACTGCCACCTCAGCGAACACATGACCACCGAATCGAATTAGTACCGGGGGCACAGCCAACCGTACAGCGCCAGTTTAGACTGACACAGCTCGAGCTCGACGAACTAAGGAAGCAGTTAGATTACGTGTTAGAGAAAAAATTCATCAGACCGAGCTCGTCACCGTTCGCTGCACCGATACTATTCACACCGAAAAAAGACGGGGGTTTTAGCATGTGTATCAACTACAGAGCACTGAACAGGGTAACAGTCAAGTCGCGGTACCCCATTCCCCGCGCCGACGAACTGATCGACCAACTGCGAACAGCACGGGTTTTTTCGAAAATAGATTTACGGGGAGGTTACCATCAGATTAGGGTCGAACCATCGGACTGCGCCAAAACAGTTTTCAGGACTAGGTACGGGTCGTTCGAGTACACTATGATGCCATTCGGGCTGACCAACGCACCGGCGACTTTTCAGATGACCATGAACGAGGCATTTAGGCCGCTCTTAGATAAATGTGTAATAGCTTACCTCGCCAACATCCTAGTGTACACTCGGGATAAGCAGCAGCACTTAGCAGATCTGGAAGCAGTGTTTAAGGTTTTAGACGAGCACAGATTTCTGACCAAGGGTTCCAAGTGCGAGTTCTTCCAGGATAGGTTAGAATTTTTGGGGCACGTTATTTCGGAGGCTGGAGTTGAAATTGACCCAAAGAAGCTGGATACGGTAAAAGCGTGGCATCCCCCGACGAACATCACGGAGCTGCAGAGCTTTTTAGGCTTCGTTAATTATGTGCATCGGTTCGTCCCCAATATGGCACGGTTAACTGCCCCACTGATGGATTTACTGCGGAAGGGGGTCATTTTTACGTGAGGGGAGAAAGAGCATGCTACCTTCTCTGCCCTGAAAAATGTTCTCTGTTCACCGCCCGTCCTGCGCATCGCCGACCCACACCGCCCATTCGAAGTAGTTACCGACGCAAGCGATATCGCCATCGGAATTGTACTGCAATAGGATTTCGGCAATGGCCTACAGCCTATCGCATACGAGTCACGAAAACTACATCCGCCCGAGAAAAACTACCCGATACACGACCGCAAAATGCTTGCGATCGTGCACACGTTCAAAGTATGGCGTTGTTACTTGACTGGCGCGGACGTGACGGTACGGACAGACCATAAATCACTACAGTACCTTTGCGCACAGCGACGCCTCAACCCACGACAGATTCGCTGGCTCGATTTCCTCGAGTCCAATTTTCACTACACTGTCACTTACAAAAAGGGAGCCTCGAACATCGCCGACGCACTGACCCGCCCCACTGCCCAAATCCACGCAATACTACTCGCCCATACAAGCCTGTCAGAACATTATAGCTTATACATTTGTGTAGGCTGTAGTGGGGTAGCCCATAAGGGGTACAACCCAATTAGGGTTAGTACTTGTACCCAACTCTTTCATAGTTCATTCATCCATTCTCACTTCTCGTCATGGTATGGAGCACGTTCCCGAGTGGGAATACTGCCTAGGGCCCACCACGAACTTTTTTTTCCTTCCCTGCCCGGAGCGCGCTTAGCTCCTAACCCGAGTAGCGCCTCGAGCCGCCTTAGTGGCCCCTGTTGGCCGCCCTTGCTGCCCCTCGAGCCGCCCTCTACGGCCTCGCTTAGGCCGCTTACGGCCCCGTTGCGGCCCCGCTACGGCCCCGCTTAGGCCCCGTCGGCCCCGCTACGGCCCCGCTTAGGCCCCGCTTCGGCCCCGTCGGCCCCGCTTAGGCCCCGCTACGGCCCCGCTACGGCCCCATCGGCCCCGCTGCAGCCCCACTTCGGCCCCGTCGGCCCCGCTACGGCACGGCACTGCTTAGGCCCCGCTACGGCCCTGTCGGCCCCGCTTAGGCCCCGCTACGGCCCCGCTACGGCCCCGCTACGGCCCCGTCGGCCCCGCTACGGCCCCGTCGGCCCCACTTAGGCCCCACTACGGCCCCGCTACGGCCCTGCTACGGCCCCGTAGGCCCCGCTACGGCCCCACTTCGGCCCCGTCGGCCCCGCTACGGCCCCACTTAGGCCCCGCTACGGCCCCGTCCGCCTCGCTTCGGCCCCGCTATGGCCCCGCTTAGGCCCCGCTACGGACCCGCTACGGCCCCGCTTAGGCCCTGCTTCGGCCCCGTCGGCCCCGCTTAGGCCCCGCTACGGCCCTGCTACGGCCCCGCTACGGCCCCGTCGGCCCCGCTACGGCACCACTTAGGCCCCGCTTCGGCCCCGTCGGCCCCCCTACGGCCTGGCTTAGGCCCCGCTACGGCCCCGTCGCGGCCCCGCTTAGGCCCCGCATCGGCCCCGTCGCCACCGCGGCCCCGCCCACCCTTGCGGCCCGCCGCCACCTTAGGCCCCGCAGCCACCTACGACCTCTCCACGACCTGCGTCCCCGCCGCCCAGCGCCCGCAGCGCCGAGCAGCCGAACCGCCGGCCAGCTGAGCCGCCCGACCACCCGAGCCGCCCAGCAACCGAGCCGCCCAGCAGCCGAGCTGCCCGACAGCCGAGCCGCCCAGCACCGTGCAGCCGAGCCGCCCAGCAGCCGAGCCGCCCGACAGCCGAGCCGCCGAGCAGCCCGATCGCCCCACCTATCTGGTAAGAGCACAGTCTTTGCCACTGCACTGCCCTGCCTACAACTGTTATGGATTCCCCTATCGTTCTCACCTTTGACGCTGAGGGTCGGGCAGTGGACTTTGAGGTCTGGGTAGATGATCTGCAGCTTTTCCTGCAGTGCGATAGGGCAGATGGCCTCTCCCGGTTTGACCTAACTTCTGGTGCCTCCCCTGCCCCTGCTAGTGATGCTGACGCCACTGTTTGCTCACAGTGGGCAACACGTGACGCTGCTGCTCGCCTTGCTGTGCGCCGCCACTTACCGACCACTGAGCGTGCACACTTTAGCCAGTACAAGAGTGCTAAGACCTTGTACGATGCTGTAGTTGCACGCTACTCTTCCCCTGCCACTGCTGCACTGAGCCGCCTCATGCTACCGTACCTCTTCCCTGACCTTGCTGCCTTTCCCACAGTCGCTGCCCTCATTACGCACCTCCGCACTAGTGACACTCGCTACCGCGCTGCGCTTCCTCCTGAGTTCAGCGCCAAGAGGCCCCCTCCCCCCATGTACATCACCCTCTACTACATAGTCACCCGGCTCCCTGACTCTCTTCGGGTAGTCAGGGACCACTTCCTCTCTGTTTGCCCCACCACTCTCACCGTTGACCTCCTCGAGAAGGCCCTCCTAGCGATAGAGAAGAGCATAGTCGCTATAGGAGCCTCTCGTGGTGACCCTCGCACCCCCGTCTTTGAGGGGTGTTCTCCCTCCCCCCTCTTGCCCTCTGTTGCCTCTTCTGCTGCGGCCGACCTCGTTGGTTTCGAGTCGGTCGGCGCTGCGTCTGCCCCGAGCGGGAGACGCCGCACCGGCAAGGGCAAGGGGGGCAAGGGCACAAGAGGAGCTGGAGGCGGCGGTGGAGGTGGTGGTGGAGGCGGTGGAGTGAGTGGGGGTGGTGGTGGGAGTGGTGCCGGAGGTGGCGGAGGCGACGGCAGCAGTGGAGGCGGCGGAGGCGGTGGAGGTGGCGGAGGGAGCGGAGGCAGCGGAGGTGGTGGAGGAGGCGGAGGTGGAGGAGGCGGCGGAGGCAACGGAGGCGGCGGCGGCGGAGGCGGCGGTAGTGGAGCGAGTCGCGACTCTGCGCAGAGGAGTGGCGCCGGTGGTGGTCAGCGCCAGCAGCAGCAGCGGAGTGGTGTGACCCTGTCCCCTCAGCAGCTTCGTGAGCGGTACACTGCACGCCAGCGCGGTGGGGGCTTTGGTCCCTGCTCTTACGTTCTCCGTACCGGCGACCGCACTGGTGAGCAGTACGGAGGCCTGCACTCCACCCAACGCTGCTTTGGTCGCCTGACAAACGCGTGGCGTCGCCAGTTCCTGTCAGAATATGTTGTTTGTGTAGCCTACAGTGGGGCACTCAATAGTGAGTACAGCCCCTTAGGGTTTGCTATTTGTATCCTGCTGCTTGCTAGTTCAATCATTCCCTTCTCAATTCTATTCCTTCACACAACCTAGTTTGTAATTGGCGCCTCCTTGCTCTAGTCCTACTGTGGCCTATGCTACTAAGCCTAGGCCGTGCTCCTACTATATCTGACAGTTCCCTGAGGCGTCAGAGATCCCTCGCTGGGGAGATCTGGCTAAGGCCGGGGTTGCTATCTTTGATCTTGACTTTGATGCTATTGTTGCTGCCATGTATGCTGTTGCTGATAGTGTTGAGGGTGCCTGTTACCTGTGTGTACCGCCTGACCCGGGCATTGAGGCTGCTGCGCTAGGTGCTGGTGAGGCTGCTGCTCTAGGTGCTAGTGCGTCTGCTGCCCCAGGTGCCAGTGCGTCTGCCGCCCCAGGTGCTGGTGAGTCTACTCTCTCAGGTACTACATCGGCTCAGGCCTTCCACACCTTCACCCTGGACTCGGGTGCGTCCCGCTCCTTCTTTCGAGACCGCACCACTCTTACGCTGCTCAGTCGGCCAGTTGCAGTCTCCCTGGCAGACCCCTCTTGGGGTCCTGTCCTTGCTAGCTTCTCCACTGTCCTTCCGTGCCCTGCAGCCCCCTCTGGCACCCTGTCTGGTCTCTACCTCCCCTTGTTCTCTACGAACATGGTGAGTGGAGTGGACCTACAGGATCGAGGGGTTGACCAGTTCACTCCTGCGAGTCAGCGAGTGACCCACTCCACGTGGGCTCGGACAGGCCGACACTTGGCCACGTTCACCCGTAGGCCAGAGTCGAGCCTGTACACCCTTACTGCTGAGTCTCCTCCTACTTCAGAGTCTGCCCAGGTAGCTGCGTCAAGTCAGGTGTTTGCTGCGGCGTCCAGGTCTGGTCCTGAGTCTGCCCCCTGCTCGTGTCGTCTGCTGTCCCACAAGACTCTCCTTTAGCACCACCGCCTTGGTCACCCCTCCTTGCCTCGTCTCCGAGGCATGGCCTCCTGTGTCCTTGTCTCTGGTCTTCCTCGGTCTCTCCCTCCCCTTCCTCCGGGGTCTGGCCCTACCTGCGTCCCCTGCGTCGAGGGGCGACAGCGCGCCGCCCCTCACTCCTCCGAGTTTCCTCCAACAGAGGCTCCGCTGCAGACTCTACACATGGACGTGTGGGGCCCAGCCCGCGTCAGTGGGCAGGGGAGAGAGCGGTACTTTCTGCTGGTCATTGACGACTACTCCCGTTACACCACAGTCTTCCCCTTGCGCAGCAAGGGTGACGTCACTGAGGTGTTGATCGACTGGATCCGCGCAGCTCATCTCCAGCTCAGAGAGAGTTTCAGCTCGGACTTTCCTGTTCTGCGTGTGCACTCGGACAGAGGCGGGGAGTTTTCTTCTGCCCGTCTGGGAGCCTTCAGTTGTGCACAGGGCATCCGCCAGACCTTCACGCTTCCGGCCTCTCCACAGCAAAATGGGATTGCTGAGCGCCGCATTAGCATGGTCATGGACGTCGCTCGTACGTCCATGATGCATGTGGCTGGCCCCCATTTTCTGTGGCCGTTTGCGGTACAGTACGACGCGCATCAGCTCAACCTTCAGCCCCGGGTCTCCTTGCCAGAGACCTCCCCCGCCTTACGGTGGACAGGGAAGGTTGGCGATGCATCTGCGTTTCGGGTCTGGGGATCTCGGACGTTTGTCCGCGACTTGTCTGTGGACAAGCTGTCCCCCCGTGCTGTTCCTTGCGTCTTCCTTGGCTTCCCCCTCGACGCGCCTGGGTGGCAGTTTTACCACCCCACCACGCGCCGTGTTCTGTCCTCCCAGGACGTCACCTTTGACGATTCGGTGCCTTACTACCGTCTCTTCCCCTACCGCACTACGCCCCTCCCCCCGCCGCCGCTCTTCCTTGCGCCAGGTGCTACCCAGGTAGACCCCCTCCCCCCTCAGGGTCCTGCCCCGTCACGTGTGTCCCAGGTGGATGCAGTCGAGCCTGCCGAGGTAGCTGTTGACTCTGGTGCTGCTAGAGGTGCTGAGCCTGCGGGTGCCGGGTCTGGGGGTGCTAGGTCTAGGGGTGCTGAGTCTGGGGGTGCTGAGGCTGGTGGTGCTGAGCCTGGGGGTGCTGAGTCCGGGGGTGCGGAGCCTGGGGGTGTTGAGTCTGCTCGTGTGGCCACCGGCGGTACTTCGTCGAGGCGGGAGCCGCTCTCTCCACAGGAGCTGCCGAGTGGTTCGCCCGCTGCTGTCGGTGCTGGTGCTACTGGAGGTGGAGCTGCTGGGGGTGTTGGCGCTGATGTCTCTACAGGTGCTGGTGCGTCTGGGGGTGCTGCTGAGGCTGCTGGTGCTGGCGTTTCTACTTGAGTTGGTGCTGCTGGAGCTAGAGCTGCTAGGGGTGTTGGCGCTGGTGCTTCTGAGGGTACTGGAGTTGGAGCTGTTGGAGCTGGAGGTTCTGTTGGTACTGGTGCTGCCGCTGGGGGTACTGGTGCCGTCCTTTCTGATTCTGGAGGCGCTGAGCGGCCGAGGCCGTACTTCGTTCCGCTCCTGGAGCAGGTTCTTGGTCTCCCGCCCTCTCCTGGTCCTGCTCCTCCCTTAGAATGTCCACAGCCTGTCCAGTCGCAGTCACAGTTACAGCCCGCCTCCCCTCTACCTGCTCCTTCTCCCTATACTGGTCCTACTGGAGGTCTTGCTGAGCGTCGTGAGCTTGCGTCTCGTCCTGCATCGCCTGTTCGTGCTGCTCGCACTAGTCGTCGTGCTGCGCGTCCGCGTCCTCCTGCGGTCCCCGGCACACACCAGATGGCACTGCGTCCTTCCACTGCTCCTCTGCGTGTCCCGTTGCCGTCTCCTCCAGATTCCTCTCTTCCTTCTCTTGCTGACCCGGAGTCTGACTCCCTTCGTGCTGCTAGTCCTTCGGTAACGCGCCTTCTTGCTACTGTTGTCACTGACACTTCCTTTGAGTCCAGTGTTGCGTCTGCTCTAGTTGCTGAGCTTGTTGACTTCGCTGCTCGCTGTCGTCTAGACTACGCTGCCAGTCTCGTTGCCGAGTCTGAGTCTGTCTGTCCTCCGTCCGTCGGGGGTGAGTGTGCTCTTAGCACGGACGTCCTTGAGGACAGGCAGGAGGAGTTTCAGTGCTTTGCGGCTGCTGTGCCCCATCTCGTGTCCACGCTGATTGCCTCTGAGGGAGACCCGGATGCACCAGACATCCTGACTTCTCGATCGTACGCTGAGGCGATCGAGGGTCCCTACTCCTCTCAGTGGCAGTCGGCCATGGACGCAGAGATGGCTTCCTGGGAGTACACAGGCACCTACGTCGACGAGGTTCCCGCACCTGGGGCGAACATCGTCCATGGGATGTGGATTTTCAGGGTGAAGCGGCCGCCGGGCTCTCCGCCTGTCTTCAAGGCGCGTTACGTGGCTCGAGGCTTCAGTTAGTGGCAGGGAGTTGACTACTTTCAGACCTTCTCTCCCACCCCGAAGATGACCACTCTTCGGGTGCTACTGCACATAGCCGCTCAGCGCGACTACGAGCTTCACTCTCTTGAGTTCAGCATAGCTTTCCTGCAGGGCTGCCTGCACGAGGAGATCTGGCTGCGCCGCCCTCCTGGCTTCACTGGGTCGTTTCCTCCTGGTACCCAGTGGAGCCTCCAGCGGCCAGTCTACGGTCTCCGCCAGGCGCCCCGTGAGTGGCACGACACACTGAGGACTACACTTGCGGCTCTTGGGTTTGCTCCTTCTACAGCCGACCCGTCGCTGTTTCTGCGCACCGACACTTCTAAGTCGCCGCTCTACATCCTCGTGTACGTCGACGACTTGGTATTTGCCACTGCTGACACTGCTGGACTCGCCCATGTGAAGTCGGAGCTGCAGAAGAGACACACGTGCACAGACCTGGGTGAACTGCGCAGCTACCTTGGCTTGCAGATCACCCGGGACAGAGCACAGCGCACCATTACCCTGACTCAGTGACACATGGTGCAGCAGGTCCTTCAGCGCTTCGGCTTCACGTACTCCTCGCCTCAGGCCACTCCTCTGTCTACTCGCCACTCGCTCTCAGCTCTGCCTTTGGATGAGTCCGTAGAGTCGAGTGGCCCGTACCCAGAGCTTGTTGGCTGCCTCATGTACCTGATGACCTGCACACGACCTGACCTTGCATACCCTCTTAGCATCTTGGCACGCTATGTTGCTCCTGGGAGACACAGACCAGAGCACATGGTTGCAGCGAAGAGGGTGTTGCGCTACGTGTGCAGTACGTCGGGCATGGGGCTAGTGCTTGGAGGGCGACGTCGAGTAGTCCTCACAGGTCACGCTGACGCTTCTTGGGCTGACGACCAGGCTCTGCAGCGGTCGTCACAAGGTTACACCTTCAGCCTTGGCTCCGGCTCTGTTTCGTGGCGGTCTACCCGCTCGTCTTCTGTTCTCAGCTCCAGCTGTGAGGCTGAGATCTACGCAGGGGCCATGGCTGCACAGGAGCTACGCTAGCTCACCTACCTGCTAACTGACCTAGGAGAGCCGCCTCGTTCTCCTCCTGTTCTGTACGTAGACAACAAGGCCTTGCTGGCCTTGTGTCGGGAGCATAGACTGGAGCACAGAACGAAGCACATTGCTCTCCGCTACTTTTTGGCTCGTGAGCTGCAGCAGCGTGGTCAGCTCCGCCTAACCTACGTGGCCTCTGAGGCCAACACTGCTGATATCTTCACCAAGGCCCTTCCGCCTTGTGATCATCAGCGCTTCTGTACTTTGCTAGGTCTTGTGCCTACCTGGCCTCACTTGCTCACTTCTTGATCTTGTTTGTACTGTACTCTTTCTATACCTGCACTTGCTTGTTTACCTTTATATATATGATCTTGCATGTGAACTGGCCTTGTGGCCTTACTCTTGTGCTCGGACTGTGTGGTGACCTTGTGATCC